GAAAAAATGTTCAATATTAATAAACCTCACTGATTTGTTATTATTTTCTGTGTTACATTCTAATTACAAATTGTTGTGTAAGCAAATTTTATATAAAATAGAAGTTAACTAATTTGGCACATGATTACCTTACCCGATGTCTAATGCTTACAGGAAATATTTGTGTTAAAGAAATTTTAAATAAAATCTTTCTCCCATTATGTTTGAGTGTGCATTTAAAAAAGAAAAATTGTTAAAAGTGGGAAACTTCTTTCTGAAATCGTATAAGTTCAGATAAATTGAACATGATTTTTCTTTAAATGAACAGCAAGTAACTGATTTATTATTTAAAAGAATTCACTTTGCTAACAAATAACTCAACATGAGTTATCGGGCCCCATTTTCTTACTTGGGTGGAAATGGCGTTCAAAGATAAAAAAAAAAAAAGATGCTTTTATTTAAGATTTTTTCTATTGTTTTTGCTTTAACTTCTATTTTTTTTTATGAAAATAGGCTTTCTTTAAATATGAATTTACATTAAAAACTTATTTCATTTACAAACAGGATAAATGTTTTCAAATTAAAGCAAATTTTGCCATAAAATTATACAAATTATTTAAGAATGATTCTCTTCAAAACTATCATAAGGGAAAAAAATTATAAAATTTCCACAAAATACAATTATTTAATATCCCATCTTTGACATACAGTAGCAAAAATTTACAATGCAATTCATTACAATTAATTATTTTTACAATTGTTCAAATTCATATGATAATGTTGGAACAATGAACAAAAATGATAAAAAAAGGTTTTTTTTTTCAAATACAATTAATGCCAAGTAGCCTCATGTGGAATGAATATTTGTTCAGCAAATAAATTTGACTTGGTGCCTGTTGTTTGATGGAGAGACCAATAAAGTGCAGCATACAACCACAACAAAAGTGTTTGAATGTGGGTTTTCACATGTTTTGATATCAACAACAAAATGTATTTTTTTCAAAATACAAATAAACAAAAAACCTACCTGTTAATTACAAAAATTGATTTTTCTTTTCTTTTCTTTTTTTTTTTTTTTTGGCAACTTCTTTCTTCTGTGAAAGTAACAAGCTACAAACAATTTTATCTCTGATCACTTTGTCTATATTGTATGTTGTATTCTTAATTACTTTGATGGATTTGTCTTAATAAAACTCACTTCTATCTTAAATTGCCATCAAACAAAATTCATTTTATAATGGCCATAGTTTAAAGGAAGACTAATATTTGAAATATTTTTCAGAGATCAAAAGTTTTATGATTATTTTTATTGAAAAAATGTGTGCCAAAAGTACGTTTTATTTTAACTTTTTCTTGTTAAATATTTAAAAAAATATCAAATGAATACTTAATCAGTATAGGTCATAAAGATATAAAATTTTATTTCCATTTTAGATTTTATAATCATATATATATATATATATATATATATATATATATATATATATATATATATATATATATATATATAATAATCAAACGAATCCTTTTACCTCATATGGGGAAGAGGCTATTTCAGCAGATGATAAAAGTGGTCGTCTGTCTTTTCAACCAAGGTGTGGAAAACGCACCAGGGTTGAAAAGACAGATGACCACTAAAAGGATTTGTTTGATTATTAATTATATTGGACTGTATAAATTAAATAAAATACACTGAGCTCTTTTTGTGGATCAGTTCTAATATTTTCATATTACTAGGATCAACTTGGATTATATAGCAATGGATTTTTACCTTAATATGCATGTATATATATATATATATATATATATATATATATATATATATATATATGAATAAAAATATAAGAGGAAAAACTATTCTTAGTCTATGTATTTAGTTCTCTGAGGATTTTATCAAGGTAATAGCTTTAACAAATTCCCCCAGAAGACAAAATGCATCAGCTAAGAATAGTTTTATCTGAAAATAATAAGTGATATATATATATATATATATATATATATATATATATATATATATATATATATATAAACAGTTATAGCAAGAATATGTAATAAACATAATTTATAACATGTTTTTGTGATAATGGTCAATAAATATTATTATTAAGATCTACACTGGAGTGAGCACTTTTTAAAAATATAGTGTTTTGACATTAGAATTAATATAACTTACCCTTGATATATATATATATATATATATATATATATATATATATATATATATATATATATATGTATGTATATATATAAAATATATATAAAATATATATATATATATATTTATATAAATAAATTCCCAAGAGGATAGAATCCAGGTAGGACTCGATATCAAGGACAGAGTAAGAATATAATATAAAAGGCTCAAGCATGATCAAATTCATCAGACCTATAAATTTGTAGGTCTGATGAATATATATATATATTAAGAAATGGACAAGGTCCGACAATTTATTTATTAAAGACATATTTTATGTTTAACGTTGTTATTTTATAGATACAAGTATTTAAGCAAATGCTCTGTTTATGATAAACAGTATTAAATAACATTTACCGGCCTGAATGTCCGAGAAATTTTCATAGAAAATTTTCGTTCTTTGACAGGATTCAAACCTGCATCCTATACGGAACCGTCATATACGCTGACGTGCCTTACCGCTTAGGCTACAAAGAAGCGTTCGGTAGACAAGGTCGAATTTACTGCTTATAAACTCCAATTTTCCATGAATCTCGTACATTCATAACTGCTCTGGCGTATCGAATGTAAACAAATGACGTCATATATTAAGAAATGGACAAGGTCCGACAATTTATTCGACCTTGTCTACCGAACGCTTCTTTGTAGCCTAAGCGGTAAGGCACGTCAGCGTATATGACGGTTCCGTATAGGATGCAGGTTCGAATCCTGTCAAAGAACGAAAATTTTCTATGAAAATTTCTCGGACATTCAGGCCGGTAAATGTTATTTAATATTGTTTATCATAAACAGAGCATTTACTTAAATACTTGTATCTATAAAATAACAACGTTAAACATAAAATATGTCTTTAATATATATATATATATATATAT